AACCTGATGAGTTCAGAGGAAAGATGCAGGGAGGTAACACTGGGGTTCGTCCATAAAACAGCCCTCCCAACACGCTCGAAGGAAGTGCCCTCGGCAGAACCTCATTCTTCAGGACTCCTGGATGATTGTCAGATAGATAATGCAGGCACGAGGGAAAAACAGAACTTAAAAAAAAAAAAAAAAAAAAAAAAGGAAATTCAAAGTTCTTGGAATTTTAAAAATTTCCAGACAGTATCATAGGTTAACTGAAAGAGAGATGAGGAAGGGTAGGGGACTATAGAGGTTCATCTCTCAAATAAAATGTAATAATAAGTAATGTAATGTAATAATATGTAGTGAGAGAAGACGAAAACAGGGGCAAGGAAAGGATGAGCAAGTGAGCCAGGTAAGGGGACACATGCCTGTCACCGTAGTGCTCAGGAGTCTGGGGCAGGAGGACAGCACGTTTGAGGCCACAGTGAGCTCAAGGCCAACCTACTGTGCACGGTTATTTCCTATATCAATGCCCCCCTCCCTCCAAAAAAAAAGCAAGAAAGAAGAAAGGAAGGGATGGAGAGGCGGAAGACTAGGATGAAGGGCAGGCATTCCCAGGCTGAAAGCCCAATTAATTCCCAGCTCAGACTGTGGAAACACATCTAAATCAGGACAGTGTTAGAAAGATGGTTCCAGAAAGGCAAGTCAGATCACACGGAGAATAAGAAATTCAAAGCTCAATGGCCTCAAACCCCTCAGCGGCAATCTTTATAGAGCTAGAAGAAAATAAGGAGCACTTTCAAAATTCCAAAGGGGTTGTTTATAATCTAATAGTCTCCACAATGTTCATCTATCAAGGGTTTCTATAAAATGAAGACATTTCAGACTCATGGCATAAAGGAAATATGCATTTCCCATGACCTCTTAGGCCAAGAAGAAGGAAGGTTTAGGATATATGGCATAAGACATTAGCTAGGTTCAACTGACTTAAAAATTGTTTTATTTTTAAGAGGGGTGGGGAGAGTGAACGCATGTGGGTGTATATAGTAGCTGTGGGACACGGGTGCTGGGTACCCAACCCAGGTTCCCTGAAGGAACGGCCAGGACGCTTGAAAGCTGAGCAGTCTCCAGCTATCTTCCCGTGGAGGAAGGTGAACGACATGCCCAGATGTGTTAAGAGGTCGTAAGAGCTGGCGGTCAGTAGACGAATGGATGGTAAATGTCCAGAAAACTAAACTAACGGGAGATGGATAGACATAGGCAGGGGATGCTACTGACCCCTGGGAACACTGAAACACAGGCGAAAGAACACAGAACAGAACTGTCACTACATGGCTAAATCACGGTTAGCGTGTGTGTGGTCACAACGACACACAGTGAGTATGGATCTAACCAGACTTCAGTATGAATCTACCACAGGGTGAGAGGGGGAATGGATGATAATTGAGGCATCTGGGGAAAGTGGAAATAAACCCTCACTTTCTGAGTAGGATGTTGACAGAGAAGATCCCAAACCAAAAGGGGCAGTCAAATAACATGGTCTACTTGCTATTTAGAGATACCAGTTAGTATCCCAAAGAATCAGACAAGAATGAAAATAAATGTTACTCCAGAGGATGAGACAAAGAGTGAGGCAGTGAGGGTCTGGTCTTGCAGCAAGTTTTGCAGAACTCTATCTGGTGTCACACTGTCCACGTACTATCTCCATGAGGCTAACACGGGTTTCTACAGAGCAAAGGTAAGAGCTGTTGTCCTCTAGAAAAGAACAGATGGAAGCACACCTCTGACTGTGGGGCCCGTGGCACCAGAGGTGAGGCATCTTGGAGTAGAGCTATGCCTGTCTCCAGCCATGTTCTCCTCTCGTCCTTCATGCCTAAACACGAGAAGGCTTTAAGACAGAACTGACGGAGCACAGAAGAGCTATCTCTCGCTGTGCCTGGAGCTGCTATATGACAGTGGGAGCCCTGCCTCTCTCTTTTAGACCAAAACGATTTCAGGAACATAAGGAGTCACAGTTCAAATCTGTGACCTGGTTTGTGCTGTGGAAAACAGAAGCTTAGAGGGGAGTCGTCCAAATGAAGCGTTGTTCTGGACACAGAGGTAGACGCAGCCCGAGCCCCCACATAGACCATATAAGGTCTGAGTTCCACAGTGGGGCTTCTTGTGGAAACTGAACAGGACTGAGTCAGTGTTTGGATTTGCCCATCTTTGCTTGCTCGCCGCGCCATCCTGACCATCCCTGTTTATCTAAACTCGCTGCTGGCTGACCCACGTCAGAAATTTACTGGGTTCTGAACTGAGCCCTCTTTGTGTTTGAGTAACACTAAGATTAATTACGAGCCGTACATAAAATGAACTTGGGGCCACAACTTTGACTTAAAAGTACTTTCGGAGTGGAATCATAAGCAGTATCAGTGGAGTTTTAAGTCCCAAGGACAGTGTCTATAGGACTTTTAGTTTCTGGGCTGGCATAAACAGAAATAAACACAAACTGTTTGCTGGAAGGGCTTTTGTTTGTCTTAAATCTATGTGCATACTTTATTTTGTATTAACAATACTTGAAGCTCCCCTCTGAGGCTTTTGTTTGGATGGGAGGGGGTGTGGAACAACCACTTCCAAGTTCAATGAGGGGAAGCAGGACACAATACAATCAAGCTCTGCTCTCTGTTTATTGGCTTGAGGCTAGGCTGTGGACACTTCTGGAATTGCCAGAGGGGTCTCAGTGTGGGGTGCTTTCTATAGCGAGTACCATTTGCTAGCCTTGCTCTACACCTGGGCCTGGCTTCCTAGCCCAAGATGGACCATGTGGGTTTCAGGATCAGCTCTGAGACCTAAGTTAGTTAGTGGCTGAGCAGACATACAGAAAACATCTGTGTGTGACCAGACCCACATAAAATCCTCAGGACTACAGCCTTCTTGGAGTACTTCCAAGTTCATTCCCAGTAGACAAACACAGGGTTCCAAGTGCCCCAGAACCTCCCTGTGCAGGAGGTTGGAAAAAGTTGCGAAGAGCTATTAGCTTGAGACCTAAACACGTCAGTACCGCTGTGATAATAGCATTGGCTCCAAATTCTACTCTACCAAAAGCTGTCTCTTCAGGGTTTTGTTTTCTTTTTTTCTGAACTTTTACATGGAGGAAAAGTCTTCAAATGATTCAGAGGCATTTATACAGTGCCCAGAACCATCCCACTCAGGGCTTCATTTTCCCTGACATGAAGCACACTGCACTATAAGGTTGCTGGCTGGGAACAACAAATTTTGAGGACTCAATGCTCAGTTATTAAACACTAGGCTTCTGTCACTAGCTGGCTTTGGAGTTAGCCTGGCCAGGCACCGAGGGCTTGCTTCTCTGTGTTCCATAACCTAAAACACCTTCGTCCAGGGCTATGGCATTTGAAGTGAAATTGCTGATGGAAAGAGTCAGAAATTTTAACACAAGAGCTCTGTCATATATTTTTCTCAACAGTTTGAGACTTTGTCTAGCAACTAACAGAAAACACAGGGGCTGAGGAGATAGCACAGGGGATAAGCACCTGCTGCCCAAGTATGGGGGCTGGGGTTCAGGACCTCCAGAACTCATGTGAAACCCAGGTCAGGTTGGTGGCTAATTGTAATCTTAGCACTTGGGAAGCAGAGAGGATCAGTGGGGCAAGGTGGTTATCGAGGCCAGCAATGTTGGCACCTCTGAATTCAATGAAGGACCATGCCTCAGTACATAAAGTGAGTGATGGGGAACCACCATGTGTGTGCGTGCACACACCTGCACACACACTCACACCCATGAGGACATTCATACACACATGCACAGACATGAAGAAAATTGAAAGGTATGGTGACACCTGAGGCTCCCTCTAGTCGTTCCCTTCCCTTCTGATAGTCTTTCTTCTGGTGAAGCTAGCGGGATGACTCCAGCCGAGGAAAAGGCTACAGGAGTCAGTGGGTCCATTTGCCTCAGAACCTTCAATCTAGCCGCTTTACCCAGGGTCACAGCACAAACTCCAAATCCCCAAACAAACACGACTTTAACATGTCTCCACATACAAGCCCTCCCTTCCTAACTATAGAAAGCTATCAAAGAGCACCAGGAGGAAGTGGAGGGTCAGTCTCCTTCCCCACTGAGCAAGTGAATCCCTGCCAGGCCTGTGTTCGGTGTTGGCTTCTGAACAGGTTCAACCTTGGGGCTGGCTGGAGGGAACATCAAAATCGAGAGGTGGGGATGGGAGAGCATAGCTTTAAAATTTGTGTCTCACTTTTCAGGCTTTTTACAAATAATAAAAATATATTTTGAAATCCTAACTTTGTAAACATAGGAGAAACTTGTTTATCCAAGATGTCACGAGTTAGAGGCCAGGGGACCGTGGTTTAGGGCCACTGACGGGGACGCTGGTGGGCCTTGTTCAGTGCCCTGGCAGCTGTGGTAATGAGCGACTGGCTTCTCTTGTCGCATCCTGGGTATCGCTCAGATGATTCCAATATTTTTTTCTTTGGAGGGATGTTTTCTAGTTAGTCCTATACAAGCTTTCTTTAAATCCTATGACAACACTGCTTTATTAGAAGCTGAATATCACCAACATTGTAACTGTGATTAACACAGGATAAACTGTAACCAACATAGAATAATTGTAACTAACACAGGATAAACTGTAACTGTAACTAACACAGGATAAACTGTAACTGTAACTAACACAGGATAGACTGTAACTGTAACTAACATAGGATAGACTGTAACTGTAACTAACACAGGATAGACTGTAACTGTAACTAACACAGGATAGACTGTAACTGTAACTAACATAGGATAGACTGTAACTGTAACTAGCATAGGATAACCATCCTTTTTCTAAGCAGTATTTGGGACAAGTTATATTTTACATGACCTAACTTATACCAAATATATAAATATAAGAATAGTGAAGGTGAATGTTCTTTCTTTTGCTTACTATTTTATTCATCCCTAAAACTGTGTATGTCTGTTATGTGGCAGGTGCCCAGATACGGGCCAGCTGAGAGAAGGCAGTCACACTCACCTGTGTGGGAATAGATGTACCACAAGGCCCCCGTCAGGAGTGCTCCAATAACAAAGGCAGCAAATGCAATGCCCATTACAGTTAGTGTGTCCAGACCATGGAAAATCTCTAAAAAAAAGAACACCAGAAACACACATTCTGTATAAGTCAGTCTTACATACTTCCATTTTATTCTCACTACAAGCATGGCCATAAGCCTAGGTGCTGATAGAAATTCAGACACTGTGGTAAGGGTTCCACTGAACTCTACAGTTTGTTACTTGCAAATTTGCTGACAAAGGAAAAGATGGATCACTTGGGTTTTTAAATATCCGGTTAGTAATTTATTCTGAGTAAAGACTTTTTAAATAAATGTTTTTAAATAAAGCATGTAGGTTTATCTTACTTTATTTGTATGATCTTTTGCTTGGATGCAGGTATGTGTACCACACGGGTGCCTGTTGGATCTCCTATCCTAGATTGGGGGTTATGAATGGCTATAAACCATCTTGTAAGTGCTGGGAATTGAACCTGGATCCTCTGCAAGGGTGACAAGTGCTCTCAATCGCTGCGAAATTTCTCCAGCTCCCCAAAAAGTCATTTTTAAAAATGAGACATAAATTTTGTGATACTTTCTATCTGTGGTCTCACTGTCTTGGTCTGAGAAGGTCACTTGAAAATTCACAGGTTAAGATTCTTAAGAAGGTCAAGTAACAGGTGTGGTGGGGTTTGCCCTTAATCCCAGTACTGGGAAGCAGGGGTAGGTAGATTAATATGAGTTCAAGGCCAGCCTGGTCTGTACAGTGAGTTCCTGGTCAACTAAGGCTACAGAGTGAGATCCTGTCTCAGGGGGTGGGAGAGGGGGGGTGGGCGTGAACTTCATTATCAAAACCAGGCTCATTGTTTCTTAATTCACCAAGCACTTCCGAGCAACCATGACCCACACACTACACAGACATCATAGCCTTAGCATCCTCTGCAGGACTTCTGTGAACACTTACAGAGTACGAAAGATGAAAGGGAGTGAGAAAAAAGGAAGAGAACAGAATACATTACTCTTGCGCATCAGAACACTGCCCTGGCTTCACAGTAAGCTCCCCGTCTTAACCCTGAAGAACTGCCTCATTTTAAACAACCTGCTTTTGCCGCCCTCCAACCCCCATCTTTCCATGAAGAGAATTACTTCTCAGTGGGGTTGCCATGTCAGTTTTACGGTCAGCAAAATATATAAAAGAACTGATTGTCCCTCTACTTGGCGGAGATTTTTTTACATTTGCAATTGATTTCAGTTCACAGAAATCTGAGATTTCCTCCCACTGAGGAAGAACCGCCTTTGAGTTAAGGCTAACTTGTAAGGAAGTGTTTGGTAAACTAAAAATCTGTTTATCTATGCATAAATTGGAGGTACAAGCTCTCTCCATGACCTAAACATAGCTTCTTCTCTCTGCCCCGTTCAGAAGCAAGACCAGCTGGTCATTCTAGAAGTGAAATCGCTTTGTTTTCCAACTCACACGACACAAAAGATTCAACTATATGCTCATGTGAGCCTAAGCCAGCCAGGCACTCCAGAGGTCTCTCTGTTAGGTAACTCCCTATGTGAGGAGTCAAGAGGGACCTCGCTCCTCCAGCTATCTCTGCTGGTGTGTTCACTACCTTCTGGGAAACGGAGGGTGGCCCCACCCAGCACAGGTAGGAGTAACACAGAGAGAGCTATTGCAACAGAGGAGCAGTCCTGGGCAGGAGCTGGGAACCTGGGAGAGCCTGGTGGGAGTCAGAACGACAGACCAGCCATCAGCCCCCAAGCATAAACTAGTCCATGGGACAGATACAAAAAGGCAATGTGCCTTCTTGTGCCTATGAATGCAAGGGCAGATTGGTGGTAACTTTCTTTTTAGTAAAAACATCCTGAAATTCCAAAGGTAGAGATGTCATTTACGAAAATCAGCCCAATGAGTATGAAAGAACGTGTCTACACCATGTCTGTTACTGAGTGTGTGGTGCTCCTGTTTCATAATCTCCTAGAAATAAGTCACTTAGGACATTCATGGGGCTTTGTAGAAAATTAAAAAGAACAACTTGTATCCAGCACTGGGGAAGTAGAGGCAGGTGGATCTCTGAGTTTGAGGCCAGCCTGGTTTACAGAGTGAGTTCCAGGACAGCCAGGTTGATACAGAGAAACCCTGTCTCAAAAAAGAAAACAAAATAAAAAAGAAAAAAGAAAGAAAGAAGGATGTTGTGTACATCTTGGGGTCAGCCCTGGAAACCAGCCCCGGGAGTCAACACAGATTCTCCTCACAGGGACACAAGAACAAAAAGAACTCTGGGTGGGCCCGGCTTCACTGCCAACGATAACTCATTCAAATATATACAAAATGATGGTGACCTACATAACGCCCAACGTTCTGTACCAATGATACTGAATTCTCATTCTCTTCCTTGCCCTCTCCGGCTCTTCCCTCCTTAAGTGTGTGGTGCTGTTTCCTTAGCACCATCTCTCTGAGCAAGGAATCACCCTGAAGCTCGAAGCAAACACTCTTCCAGCACAAGAGGAAAAAGCATAAAAACAATTAACTTGATAGTGTGAAGTTGTAGCCTTCACACTCAGGCTGCGGCACCAGTGGGTCAACAAGTCAGGATTTTAACGTGGCAAAGGCAGAGACCACAGAACAAGGACAGACAGGGTGAAGGGCAGAGGGAGGGGAAAAAGTGAGAAAAGGAAAGAGGGAAGAGGAAGAGGGAAGGAGGCAGAGCTGCCTTATCAGTTCAGCTTGGCAAGGTTTTCACGACCAACACTTTCTTAGAAAAGCCCAGAGGCATTGTTTGGAAATAGTTGCATAAAGACTTACGTGGAGGGGGAGGAATTGGACTGGACTCCTTAGTTTTAGTGTCTGGAACATTTTCTGAAACAAAAGCATAAGTCACAATGCACTCCATTTACGCAAGGGATCATCAGACTCTCAGCAGAAGGGCATTTTTCTAAGTGTTAATAAATACGTGTGTGTGTGTGTGTGTGTGTGTGTGTGTGTGTGTGTGTGTGAGCGTGTGTGTTGGATCCCTGGAGCTGGAGTGGTTGAGCCACCTGACTTGGGTGCTGGGCCTCTGGGTCTCTGGAAGAGCAGGCACCACTCTTACCTGCTGAGCCTTCTCTCTAGCCCAAGCTAATAAACACTTCCTGAAACCACCGCTAAAGTTCCTCTTAATGTATCAAAGGCACCTCTCAGAAATTCCAGGCATTATATTCTGCTAGGGACCAATTACAGAGGCTCTGCAATTTGAAGTTGAAGGCAAGCAGCTCGATTTAAAGACTTTGGATCTGACAGAGTGTACATGTATTCATTCATCTTTCTAGTTACTGTTCAATACCTCCAAACACCAGGCTTCTCCAATACGTTCACAAAACTGTTCCCCCCTTGAAATATTTTTTTAAGAATTTACAGCTTTTTGCCAGGCATAGTAGCACAAGTCTAAATCCTAGCACTTGGGAGGCAGAGGCAGACGGATCTCTGTGAGTTCGAGGCCGAGTCTGGTCTGGTCTACATAGTGACCAGGGTCTCAGGACAGCCAGAGCCACACAGTGAGACCCTGTTGGGGAAAATGTATGGCTTTTGTAACATCATTTCTTATCTCCTTAACCACAGGGTTTAGTTCTGCTCTGGCATTACCAGTCCCTCCCTCTTCCCATCAAACTCCAAATGTTCTCTGCACAACTCCCCCAAAGGGAATTCTCCAGAGTCCCGCTAGTGACTAACTACCCTTTGTGTACAGAGAAAAACAAATCCAGTCAGTTTAGCATGAAACACAGCTTCTCCCCTCCCTCCCCCTTCCCAGGTCCTTCACTCATGGATGCTGGTGGCTCCTCCCTATTTAATGTTCAACTGGCTCCTTTCAGTCCCCAGTTTCGTCATACTTTCTAAGCCAATTTCTGTTTCGCTGGCCCTGGTTCTATCCTTCAGGGCTGACCTCTCCCATGATTCTCACTCCACCCCTTTTCAGCTACACAGGTCACGCTCTGACACGCTGGCTGGTGTGGCAAGGCCTGTAGAGGGTCCCAACATTTTCCCTGCGCTGCCTTTAGGGGAAGCCTCAGAGCGGCAAAGAATCAGACTTCCAGGAATGCTTGGTGAAGGTGATGCTGACACCCTTAATAAGACGACCAGAACACCTTGTGCTTAGATGCTTCCTGGTCTTAGAACGCCACAAGACCAAAGTTTTCAGTGATGTTAAACCTGGTCCTTTGAGGCCATCAGAAAGAGAATTTGCAATTGCTGTTTTACAAACGAGTGGGCCGAGATTCTGATGTCCTGTGACCAGTTCAAGATCACAGCTGGGAAACATCAGTGAAAGGCTGAACCAGGATTTCTGACTCTGGCTTCATGGGTTACAGGGGGGGGGGGGGGGAGGGGGGGTGTGCCCTGTCCTTAGCTGGAGAAACTCTGATTTAGTAACTGCTTGTGCCCAGTGCTTGCTGCTCTCCTCAGTGCGAGGAGCTTAAACCAGTGTGAGGACACTCTGGCCTGAGACGGGAAATTGTAATTTGAAATGATTTATTTAAGAAAGCAAAAGAAGAATATTGCAGGAGGTGAAAATTACATGAAATTCAAGTTTGTCCCAAAAGCGGTATTCTGTGGTCGTGCACAGCACACATGATCTACAGCCATTTTCCTGCCGCAGCAATAGAACCGGACACTTGAGACAGGGGCTGGACAGTCCCCAAACCAAATACTTTATCTATCCAGTTTTTTATAGAGAAAGAGTGAAGAGGTCCTGGCTCAGATACCACCTTTCTCTTTGGAGTTCAAAGTGGTATGTCCTAAGTGCCTCTCAGCTTTAACTTCATCATCATTCATAAAGAAGGACACACTTAGTCTTTGGATTCATAGCAAAACAAAAAAGAGCTTGTGGGATTTAGAACAAAATAATGCAAGTTGGTCTTTACAAAAATAAGTCATAAGGTTGACAGAGTGAGTGGTGACGAGAGTTCCTGGGGTTAACCATTGCAATCAGGCCCGGTCCGGTTCTGAGGAGGTAACCAGCTACTGTACGGACCCCTCAATCTGAGTGTCACGGTGCCCCTTTGAGGAGACATTCAAGTTATACGTCAATACAATCACTAAGAAAATTAAGGTGTCTTAAAAAATGAATCCAGGAGCCAGGCACAGTCTATGATCCTGGGAGGTGGATGCAGGATGGCTATGGGTTTGAGGACAGCTTGGACACACAGTGGCCTCAGGCCTGTTTGACCCACTCAATGAGAACCTGCTTGTGACAGTTTGGCTTGAAGGTTGTCTCACTGAGGGACTGTTGAGATTGGACTGGGTGGTCTGTTGTGGGGGCTGTCTTAAGTTAGCTGGGTTAGGTTCAGCCCAGTGTGGGAGGCACTATTCCCAGAACAAGGGCCCTACATTTGCATAATGGAGCAATGGAGTTGAGTATAGGCAAGCAAGCAAGCAGGTACACATCCACTTCTCTCTGCTCTTGACGGCGGGTGTGATGTGACCAGATGTTTGAAGTTCCTGCTTCGAGTTCTTCCCAGTGACAGACTAAATTAGGAGATAAGCTAAATAGACCCCTCCTCTTCTACGTAGGTGGTTTTGTTTGGATACTTTATTACAGCCACAGAAGTGAAGCTAGAGCACAGTCTTAAGGAAAAATGATACAATTTAGTATGCAGAACTCAACAGTCATAAACTAACTATATAAGATACATTTTCTAGGGGCTAGAGAGATGGCTCAGTGGTTAAGAACATTGGCTGTTCTTCTACAATAGCTGGGTTCCCAGCACCCACATGGTGGCTCACAATTATCTATAACTTTAGTTTCAGGGGTTCTGATGCTCTCTTCTGGTCTCTGAGCACACCAGAAAGGCAAGCGGTGCACAGATAAATGTGAAGGCAAAATGCCTGCACACATGAAATAATAAAATGCATGTTTCTAGAGATGCGTTTCCTGGCTGGGGATGTAGCCTAGTTGGTAGGGTGCTTGCCTAAAATGCCCTTTCCTGGGTGTCATCTTATTGGCAGCAATAACACTAGCTCTGACATTTGTAGATTTGGACAATACTCTAAAGTAGACAAAAAGTCTCCGTCTCTTATCTCATACCCCTAGGAACTCTCTGAAGTGTGAGCATCTGACCATAAATCCACCTACTTTCAAGAAGTAATGGTTTGGCTCACTGAACTAAGTGCGAAGGCATTGGAAGGTCTCAGCAGCGTGCATCAGCAAGAAGTATACACACACTTCTGGCAAGAGCTCCAACCAGCCTTCCACCTGCGGTTACGCTGTGTCACTCAGAATCCCCACGTGGTTTGAAAAGAAGGATTCTCCCAGAGGGAGGACCTCACATGTAAGAATTTAGGTTTTATGGCAAAGTCTTTGTGATGGATGGTACTGTTTAAAAATGGACTTATGCTGTGATCTAATACTCCCCCTCACCCCAAATAGGGCCCTCCCAGAGAGCTAAACAGAAACAGCCCTGCCTTATTTCCTTGTGTCAAGTCTCGTCGTGACCATCCGTGCAGAGACAAGCCCCACACCGCAAAGCTGAGGCTCCAGGATTTACCAACTAACATTTCTTGTTCCCCAGTTCCCCATAACTCTGACTATAGCAAAAATAGCTTCATCTCTTCCAGCGCCCTACAACTGAACCCGCCTGCCGAAAGGAAGGGAACAGCCGTATTTACTTAGGGAAAGGATTGTTAGAAAGGAATCCTAGATATTGCTGCAAAGAGAATTTTAACAGTGGATCTCTCTCTGCAGAAAGAATACACTATAATCAACATTCTGGATCAAATCTTCTCATATAGTCTGAACAAATTTTGGTTTACCTCTAGAACCCAAACCTCCCTCAGATTGTCAGAACTAGCTCTCGCCAACCAGCGTGTCTGGGGTAGGTTATGCATGAGTAACTGACCGCAGCCTTTGGCCTCCCGTTTTAATTCAGTTCTTGTAAACACTGCAGGGCTGAGAAAGCCCACAAAGAAACAGGGTGGGGGTTGGGGGAAGTGATGACTTTGTGCGGCTACTCAAGAGTGGTTTTTTCCCCTAACCTTACTCGGCTGATTCTGGTTCTTGCTCTGGGCTCTTTTCAGTATTTATGGCAGGCTTTGCATTGGCCTCTTAACTTCTCTGCCACTAGACAATGGTCCTCACCCAGGGACAGGGCAGGAGGCTCTTTGGAAATATGGTGGTTTCTAGAAATGAAGGATGATGCTAATTCTACAGGGCGCCCACGTCAGAGTTATCCAGCCCTAGGTGGGTGCTGTTCAGAGTGAGAAACATTGTACTATAAAGCCCTAACATTAGGGACTCAGAAAACATGTTTTTGGAATAAACAACCCAGAGTATCATTTCACGTTCTCTTGCTGGTTTTCTCCCAGAAGCACAACACCTGCACTGCTCTCAGAGTGGTAATCCTAAACAATCCTAAGCCCTGGAGTCTCCCTCTGTGTAGCCCTGCCAGGCCTTGAACTCACAGAGATCTGGCTTCTTCTGCCTCCCAAGTACTGGGATTAAAGGTGTGTGCCACCACGCCCAGCCTTCTCAAGATCTTTTGGTGCTCCTTAGATTTCAGAGAGGTATCTCCTGGATTATTGATGGATGGAACTGTTGGTTTCCTTCCACACAAATGGGCCACAAAAAGTGGTCAAACAAGATTCACCATGAATATGTAGTTGCTAAAACTGGATAATGTGTTCCTGGAGGGTTCGTTCTAATTTTACATACATTTAAAATCTTCTTAAGAACAGGTTTTCAAAACTGTGAAGCAGCTGGACCGATGAGAGTTCTATCCCCGGCTCCCTCAGGGACCGAGACCTTGCTGGGTCAGCATTTCTAGTCTTTCCCTCATCTCTGCCTTAACCTGAGGCAAACTCTTTTTTTTTAAGAGTATTTTTGGTTCTGGAAAATCCAAATGTGTTCCAAAATGTCACGCCTCTTTTAGATTAATTTCCAACTGACATTTGAAACGGTTTCCCAATACCTTTCTCTCCTAGAAGAACCCCAGTCTGACCGAGAGGAAAGAAAGAAATCCACATTTACTGAGTGCTCATGATAGGTAGGTGCTTTTATTTTCAAGTGTGGAGAAAATCCAGAATTCCTGAAGTTTAACTTGCTAGGAATTAAAAGCTGAGTATAAATCATGGCAAAGCCGGGAAAGCTGCCAACGCGCTGAAGCATCTCAGAGACGATGGCAGGATGGCACCGCCTCAACTATTCTAATTGTTTTGCCATAAGCCATAATATGCATCAGCTGTTTGTTTTCTGCTTTTGTGTGTGCTCAAGTCATAAAGTCACAGAATGTCTGAGTCTGCACTTTTAAACACACCCTAATATTTTAATCCTGTCAAGAAATGTGTTTTCTTTTTTTTTTTTTAATCTTTCATCTGACTTTCAGTTCATATTCTTTAGATTACTTGAGTACTGTCTTGATAACAGTGGCCATGGGAGGAGGAGGCATATGGGGGTTTGCAAAAGGTGTAAAATCAAAGGAATGGATTCGCATCCTGGTCTGCCATATGTAGGTGTGTGGCCACGTTTGTTAAAGCGTCCTCTCTGCAAAGCCTCTGTGAAAACTAAACTCGATAACACCCTAAGCACTCAGGACAGGGCCTTGAGCAAAAGAAATGCTCCGTGAATGTTGGATCCTCATCGCCATCACTAACACCTCAACAGCCTGGCATCTTCATCTATTGTGAAGAGTAAAGGAGCCTGATGATCAGCCAAGACTGATTCCAATGGACTTAGAGACCAAAGGTTCCACTAAGAATGGTAGCCTATTAAAAGAACCTAGAATTATTCATGTAGCTTTGATGGCCACTTTCCCTGCCCACGGAGGAGGAAACACTGTCTGAAGATGTCATCATTATTGGTGGTGGTAGTTGCTACTCTCTGCCTGTATCTGTCGTCCTGAAAACCTCAACTGTAAAAAAAGAAAGACAGGCCAAATGGCCAAGGACAGTTGGCTCTATGGCAAGGACGTCAGGAGGAATGGACCAGGACAGTGGAGCTGCTGGGCACTCTTACCCCACAGGTCATCCCTGGTCTCCCACTCCAAGAAAGAACCTTAGTTACTGTCGTTTAAATACACCACTGATACTGGGCCAATGGTCACCTGCCTTTTCCCAAAAATATTCCAGTGCCCTGTGTGGCTCAGAGATTAGATTTCAGTGATCTACACGGAACAGAAATGATTTCAGAGCCAATGAAAATAAACACAAAAGGTAAGGGAGGCATTATGAGCCGAAACCCAGCAGCAAACCCCCTACTCCTGCCAAGGAAGACGAATTTGCATACAGCCTTGGGAAACTGCAGTTCAACCTCCTCAATTTGTTTCACAAACCTAAGCATAAACTGTTCACCCACTTGCTTCTCCACTAAAATCTCACCTCAATTAGCGAATCTCATGAAATTGCTTTGATATCCGGTTAAAAAAACAACACTTTCCTCTTGAGCGTTTATGTAAAGAAAACACAGAGTGTTCAGTGTAATGACTAAGTTTAAATAAAAGTAATTACCTAATTTACAAGAGAAATTACTTAGAAAAATACCACTGGAGTTTTAAAAAAAGAATGAAAGAATTGCTGGAAGTTATAGTGTTGTAATATTAATGCCTAAGTACTGTCTGGCACGGGGCACAACCAGCTGCTGCGTTCAATTACCAGCTGAATGCGTGATCTCAAAATAGGGTAAGGGTAAGGGACAAGGAGCGAGGTGGCTGCTGCAATTGTTAACTACTTTTATAGGACAAAACACAGTCAGCTGTTCTCAACTATGAATTCTTTGCAAGGCAATTCATTCCTATTCCTTTCCCCTGGACGCAACGATAAGGGTAGTAGTATTTGGGCAACCCAGTTGAAGTGAGACTACCTACTAAATGACTGAGAACCAACCAATAAAAGCCTAACAAGCTACATTCAAGACAAAACCCAATAAACACCTGACATGTGCACCCAGCATCTAGGGCAGTTAGGAAATGAACTGGAATCTGTTTGCTCCTCCTAACAGCTCAGCCGGGTGTCAGGGCTGCAAGGGCTTGCATGTCCCTGTTCTAACCTCTCCTTTCCAGATAAGAACCTGAACTGGGGAGGTCATGAGGGCTTGCCATAGCCCGCTGGGTATGGAGGGAATAAGGGCTGTGAGCCAGTCTCTACCCCATGCCTCTTTGAAGGGGTGAGACACCTGGAATGGCCACTTCTTATTGAGAAATTGACCAGCACCCACCTGTCTCTTCTCTGGTAGCTCACGACTGCTCCAGAACCACCCACTGCTAAGTCCTGCCAGTCCTGGCCCCAAAGTACCATCCCAGGGCACCCCAGATCTGGTGTCAGCACCAGCCACCACAGCTCCCCTCTAAGGCCCAGCAGCCGGGACTGAGCTGCTCGCCGGCTTTTGCTAGGCTTCTCTCTGCCCTTCAGGGTGGCAGGACAAGGTCCACGACTGCAATGCTGGCGTATCTCACCCTGGATGCTTGACACCCCCTCTTATCCCGCTCACTCTGCCAGTCTTTTCTCAGCTTGACACCCTTTGAGAGCAAGGCTTCTGGGGAGCGACAGGCTGTTTTAGACAGGGAGGACGGCAGCTACTCAGATCACCCATGCGACATGCAGCCCCACCCCTCAGCTGTTGACAGCTGCCTGCTGCATCCTGGCTTTCTCAGGTCCCTGGGGCTGTGATGCTCTCCCCGCAGTCCCTGGAGTCCCCCGCTGGCCGTCTGGGCCTGCCTGTCGCCCCGGTGTGACACCACACATCTCAGGACATGTCTGTCCTTCTTTCCTAGTCAGTATAGCTCAGTGAGTGTTCTTACACATGAAGGACTGGAAACCCTGGGAATGAGGAGGAGCAATGGAGTTCTGAAAACTCCTTCGTAAATCTCAGCTTCCTTCCAGTATTCCTGAGTGGACGGTGCCCACGGGTGAGAAGCCCTCCCCGAAGCTGTGGTCTTGATGAAGCGTTTCTGTAGCACGGAGAGAGCAGACCCGTGAGCATAGATAGCACGGAGAGCTGGGCCGTGCAAGCGTGCAAGTCCCAGCACGTCACAGACCACAGGAGCACGTCTGAAATGCAGCCGAGAGGAGCATGGCGGAGCCAGCCTTTACGGTGATGTCATTCTTTCGTGGTGCGTGGATCGAACCCACTGTCTTCTACACCTATCTAGCCCTCCTCCACTGAGCTGTTTCTCCGCCCCTCGTCTGTTCTTTAAAGAAGAATTTGTAAATAATTACACACAGCACAGTGGCAGAATTGGAACTCTCTTGGGGCAAAGAAGTATTTTCTATATTGACTGCCTTAGGCTATTTTTTGTTTACATTTATGTGTTCATTACAGGTGGGTGTACGTGCGTGTGCATGTGTGTACCATGGATGTCAGGACTTGGGGAAGTCAGATTTCTCATTCTACATCCTTGTGAGTTCAGGGATCAATGCAGGTCGTCAGGCTTTACGGCTTTAACCTTTAACCCGCTGAGCTATCTCACTAGCACTGGCTTATATTTTATTTTTTTGAACAAAACTGGACTTAAAACACTTATTTACTCTGTGTGCATGTGTGTGTGTGTGTGTGTATCATATCATGCAGGTTATGGTCGGATGACATTTACTATTCTGTGTATCTGTGTGGAGACACATGTGTAACACCATGCAGATGAAGGTCAGAGGAAACATTACTCCACGTGTCTGTGTGCATGCATGTGTGCATGTGTGTCATACGATGTAAGTGATGGTCAGAGGAATTGTTATTCTGTGCGTCCATGTACATGTGTGTGTACATGTGAGCATACGTGTCACACCGTGCAGATAAGGGCAGAGGAAACATTACTCCGTGTGTCTGTGTGCGTGCATGTGTTCATACGTGTCACACCGTGCAGATGAAGGTCAGAAGAAACATTACTCCGTGTGTGTGTGCGTGCATGTGTTCATACGTGTCACACCGTGCAGATGAAGGGCAGAAGAAACATTACTCCGTGTGTGTGTGCGTGCATGTGTTCATACGTGTCACACCGTGCAGATGAAGGGCAGAAGAACCTTGCAGGGTCATTTTCTTTGCCATGTGTGTTTTGGGGGTCTCTATGAGGAGCAGGTTTAGGTCCCCCCTTCTCACCTTTATAATCTGGCTGGTGGATCACAGCCAGGGGCTTGGTAAACGTCTTCTTATTCTGCATCATGGTCCAGATCATGGCGGCATCTAGAGAGGTGCAGGCCTCATCAGGACTCACGCACTGCGGAGAGGCGGAGCAAAGCAGTCACAGTCATGGCTCATAGGGAAGTCACGAGTCCTGCACACGCTGTCTTCTGGTCCCTCACCAGAGAGCTCACGGCTGCTAACATGGGGAACACAGGGCATCTGTGTGCACACTGTCTTCTGGTCCCTCACCAGAGAGCTCACGGCTGCTAACCATGGGGAAGACAGGGCATCTGTGTGCTTTTCAAAGAACCCTAGATAATCAGTGTGTTTTCACTGTACTCGAAGATGCAAATATCAACGGACAGCTTACAGACATCCTCCTCAGCCCCTCCCCACAAACAGTTTCAGAATTCGTTTGACAAATGGGTGAACTACAGATGTGATGTTCTTGGCCCTGTCCAATAATGGCTTCTTTGTGATAACATCTATAATCTGTGATTGTGGGAAACTGCATTTATTGCGTTATGATAGAATTTATATCTGTTGATAATTGTAAACATATTGTCATACTTGTTGGATTTTTTTTTTTACATTCTACAAAATTAGGTTTCCCATAATCATCTTCTGTTTGTTTTCATTTTTTCCCCTGGTGCAAACATTTAACCTGGCACCTCACACATGCTCTACTATGTCACCCAGGCGTGGAAGTATGAGACCAGCAGTTTCTAGCTATTTTAAGTCTGGAAAGTTATCAGGAACGACATGTCTGGAGGTGGAGGGTATCATATCTGATACGCTTCTCTGGGCCACACACAAGCCAGATACACACCCTGAGAAGAACTTTGCTGCAGAGGGAAAGGCATGTCATGATGGGAAGAAGGCGTGCTGTTGAGAAGACGTGAAGCTCCTTTCACTGCTGTGGCTCCCTTGACTCTCCGGCTAGTCCTCCAGTTAATTAAGACTGTACGATGCTAACTCTGTCTCAGAGGCTGACCCTGGGCCAGACACTTAACTCACAGCAAAGGGCAGGGCAAGACTCGGTGATCACGAGTACCTTTTCCTAGAAGGTCACAGAAGTACTCAGGAGTTACTAGGAACAGGGAACTGCTGCCTTTAAGAAGGCATTAACCGTTCCACCTCAGCATCCCGCCTCCTTTGCTCTTCTACCCGGAAGGGAAGTGTGTGCTACTTTCATTTCTGGAGGACTAAAGGTAGCAGTGGCTATAGAAGCAGACAGGTGAGCAGAGCCCGAGTCTTTAGCTTTGTTCCCTGAGGACTGGTGGTCGGCTGTGTATTAATTTGTAGACAAAACTCAGTGACTTCTCAGGGAAATGATTCAAGGAATTCAGGTCAGTAGAAATCTATTTAATAGGTATTTTTCTCCACCTACTTTTTCTTCCAGTTTCTGTATACGAGAATTCTAAACATATAAATGCTACAGCTTGATTCTGGACTTCTGAGACACTAGTAGATCCCAGATTCCAAGGGAGTTAGAATCCAGTTTAGACTGTGTGTAACAGTTACAGAATAAACACGCAGAGGAAATTATATGAAATCACATTAGCTCATAGCAACAGCAGGAGATACCTGTCCCACACAAGGCAGACCTAACAAGGTGTCACAGTTGACCCAACTGAGCCCCTGTGGTGGCTGCTCCGACAAGGTCAAAGGGTTCTAATTTCTGTTGTGGCAACAGAACATAGCCGTTTAATGTGGGCAACGGCACGAGGCAAATACGATAAGCTGATAAGGAACCAGGCGAAAGTAAAATATTTGTTAGTTTCCCTTAGAAATCCTTCAGAGATAAGGCTGTCTTATAACCCACACAGAGAAGGTCAAAAAAACAATTGCAATCCCAGTCTCACTGGGACCTGGAAAAATTAATCCTCACACTGATCTCGTCCTTTCGATTCCTTGTTCTTCTGGCACAGCACACTATCTGACCAACAGAGCCAGGGCCAGCCTCTCCCTCGGTGGAAGTCATTCCTGGGTTATCACTCTAAGGTACAGCTAAGCACGGACGGAAAAACTAGCTCACTGTCAGGGTTTATTTTCCAAAACCTAAAGCACATGTTCCCTGTCGCTTCAACCAGACTTCAAAAACTCAAAACTACAACCTCAGCCTGCAGGAACTTGGATTCCACGTTCCCATTAGGGCGTCTCTTGACCTAAATACGCCCAAATCCGCGGTCCAGACAGGCGAGAGCCCACTCACCTTTGGCAGCCTCTGCGGGCCCTTCCTCCTGGTGCACAGCGTCAGCTCACAGTGTAGGAAGAGCAGGGAGGTGTTGAACACGGACTTGAAGACAAAGCTGAAGCGCTTCTTGTCCACCTCGGCGTGCGGGATGGGGAAGTGCACTCTCTTGGAGCTGTAGAACTTCACAGACTCATCCTTGGGACAGATGTTCTCGATGATGGTGTAGTCAGACATCCTGTCCGGGTTTGAGAACGGAGAGACAAAGCAGGTTTGGATGGCAAAGCCCAGTTCTTGGTCGGCCTTGGTGACGGACACCTGCCAAGGAACAAGACGGAGTCAGAAACGGCTGGCGTCTTGTACTTTAGCCACCCAGACTGTATCCCGACACAGCTCTTTGGGTAACACTGCTCTGTTTTCATATTTACAGCTCTCCAGCTGTGACAGAAACACACACTGATTGACTTGGCGCGAATGACAACAAACTGTTTAATTCAAACACTGCAAGTTACAAATACAAAATGGGTTAAGGCTCTCTGGCCCTCTGCAAGCCCTCGGAGATAACAATGTAAAACTAAATTATGCACCTGAGTGGATTTTCTGAAACAAGCACACACAGGCGAAGCCCGCAAGGCCACAACAGCAGATTATGACCGGGACCAGTTTTTTTTAATGCTGCCCTGTAGCTCAGGACGGAGGAGAATCCACGTGCTGGAGGCAGGCAGGACTACTCGAGAAAGCGGAGCAAGGCCAGGAGAGCAGGATGTGGTAGACGCAGCCTGCTTTGTCAGTCAGCAGGCCCATGGTGCTTTGTACCACGGACAGTGTGACCCGGTGGCCGTCACCAACCTGGCACCAAGCCGGCCTTGCCAAGAACTCTCCTGTCATTCTTTAATCCCCCGGGGGGGGGGCGTTAAAGGGAAAACTAACCTGGAGACATTTCTAACTCATTTCCTTTTCCCTCTCACACGTGTGTGCCGTGTCTATGCCGTGTCTATGCCGTGTCTATGCCGTGTCTATGCCGTGTCTATGCCGTGTCTATGCCGTGTCTATGCCGTGTCTATGCCGTGTCTAGATCTTACTGAGGTTTCTTCTGTTTAGACAGGGGAAGGAGCGCTTAGCCAAATGTAAACAGTATTCAAACCTTAGCTCTCCTGAACCCTGCTAGAATCCCTGGAGCAAAACTGGCTTTACTGTCTGGTGACGTGTGATGGCTGTGTGAACTGCTCGCCTGGCTTCCGTGCCTCTTTCCTTGACTAAACCAAGTATAAATAATAAACTTCAACACTTTAGAAATAAAGCTAGTCCTCATCCATACACCATGAGCCCCCAAATGCTTAAAAAGACAGAGATAATAAACAAACCTTGCACTTGGAACCCGCCCAGGGGAAATCCCCGACACTGCAGGAACCCTCATCCATAGCACACCCAGAGATCCCACACTGGTAACTGTGGGACATTCCACACGGACGTGAACAGAGGGCAAAGCTGATTACGATGTTGCCGTAGTGTTTAACATGTCACAAATACTACCTTCACTATCTTTCCGAGTGCTTTCTGAGGAACAAGCTATTCTGTCTTAGAGAGATTACCAGGTAAGTTACATACATGTTAAAACACAAAGTGCCATTAACATGAACTCAGTCTTCAGTGTAAGACTATGCTGACTCTGTCTCTCTTTCAAAGGCAGGCGAAGGCAGAATGTCTGCCTAGACTCTCTCCTCAGTGCTTCGGAGGAGGAAAACCTTAGGTCCTGCTGCAGAATGGACCAGAAGTGAATGGTAGGAAGATTATAGGCTGGGGATGAGACCAGACCCAGGAATCCCCACGCTCTGCTCCTGACGTGCGGACCAAAAGCTCTCTTCCCACCTACTACAGGATGGCAGCAGCAGTTAATGCGGAAGATGCAGTTAGTGTGAGAAACAGCGACTAGAAGAGGCTCACGCCGACAGCGTGGGTCCCAGCCGGTGAGAACTCCCACTGTTAGCAGCGCGACTCTAGATGCTGACTAGGCCGGATGAACTGAGAAGAAGAACTGACATCATATCACCAGGCGTCACCCAGGAGTGCCCACCTTGGATTAGGGGAAAGAACTGTGGACTAGAGGAAGTAGAGGTTCCAGAAAAGGCTAAGGAGGGCAGCTGGAGAAGAAACCAAGAAATGACTTTTCAGGTTAAGCCAGTGATTTATGAAGTTTTATTTTACTTACGTAAAGAAGTTTTCCTACCAGAGGAGGAGTCCAAACAGGGAAAGAAAGACAGGGCATGGCCAGTTGCTACCCTATTTAGCAAAACATTTACAGATTCTTTCAGGTTTTAGGTAGTTTCAATCAAGTTTAAATCGGTTCATAACTACTCCCCAGTTCCAAATCCTTCTTAACATACTTGATATGTAAAGCAGCAAAAAATATTTGATCCACTTTTAAAATCAAATTTAACTATAAAAATATGATAAGTGAAAAGAAATAGAAGGAAAAACAAGAGTGAAAATGTAGAAGGGACCGAAGGGACGGGAGAGGGGACCTCCCAACAACACAGTTCAAGTAAGCGAGTACTTCAGAGGGAGAGAAAAAGGAAAATACTGGGGGTGGGATACACAAGGCAGATTAGCCACTGGCTGGCATAAATTGGCAAAGCCACAAAGGAACAGATCTAGGCATGCGCCTGGAGAAGAGCAAGCTGTAGCTAACCCACGGCAGAGGCAGGAGTCAGACTAATGAGGCTGTGGGCTGTGAACACAGAAAAGGCTGAGGAAAAGAGCCCTGTTGTAGGGACAATCATGGTTAGGAACAACACAGAGCAGTGGTTCCCCCAAAGCGCGGCTATGCACGCACAATGGGGGAGGGGCAGCAGGGAACATGGCTCCACTATGACTGCAGAAAGCATAGTGGGTTACCTGGCTCCACTCCAACCCAGTGCCCACGCACACTGTCTTTGGAAATGACAAAGGTGCTCTGCAGTGGCTGTCACCTAAGGAAGCTTCTCACCCTCCCACTGTGAGGCACAACAGCAGCCAGCTGCTTCGCGCCAAAGCCAAAGATGCCTTTTGGTGAGACCAGCAGATGCTATGCCAATGGGGTCACTACAGACTCTGCCCAGGACACACAGACGGCAGACAGCCTGCTGCTGTAGGTCCATCTTCCTCAGAATGGATCTGTGAACTTAGACACTGACGTTGATACGGAGGTATGTTTTCTTCCCTTTCAAATGACAAGCTGAGGGGCCATGACAGAGGCGCCTGGTGGCCAATAGCGTGGCCTCGAGAAGTAGGACTCCACAGCTGCGCTACTTTGGACGGCTTAAATCTTAATTTTCTCATCTGAAAGTCAGATCTTAAAAATGAGTCCCCTCTTACAGGATCCTGCTAACAAGTCAATCATGGTGATGATATTCACAACTGCATTCGGTACGTCATGAAACAGCAATACATATCAGGGGTTACTATTTCGTTATTACCACCACTGCCTAATAATTTCATAGGCATTCCAGATTTAAGCTCTGTGTGATGACTGCTGTTGGAAATGGGAAATGGCTTTGACAAATTCGGGAGGCGATTTAGATAATGACTTGGCAGAAACAACTTCACACACAGACATGCACATGCACACACACACGCACACACATACATACATACACGCACACACAATACACGCATGCACACACACGCACATGCATGCACACACGCGCACACAGACACAATGCACACGCACACATACAGACACACACGCACACACATGCACATGCATGTACACACACACGCACGCATGTGCACACACACAGAGCTGCTCACTCGACAGTAAATCCAAGATGAAGTGGGAGGCAATCTGAAAGCGTCCATCCTAACCCTCACACTGGATGACTGAACAAAACTGTCCCTAAAAGTGTGGACAGCGAAACAAGCAGGCTGCTTTACTGGTAGACTTCACATTTTTCTCACTTTTTTCTTTTTGGCATTTACCAAAAAAACCACTACATCCATTTAGCATATGCCATAACATCCCAATATCCCTCCCCCCTTTTTGTCAGAAAGTGACCTGCAGGAGTTTTCTGAGCCAAGCTGTTTCCTAGATGAAGGTGTCAGCTAGTGGTACAGGAGCTGCACAGGGTACTAGGCTGGATGCCTGTGGCCAGCACTCTATTCTTACCTCCACATAAACATGCCCGTTCTCTGCCACAGAGAAGACCCCGGGGGAGGGCACCAGAAAGAGGTCTGTGCTGTACAGCTCCATGTTGAAGGTGATGTTTCCATCGAGCGGATCCCGGAAGCCACTGGGATTCCTCAGCTGCCGCAAGCTGCAGTTAAACTGGAACACCTCCAAGCAGACAAGGCTACGTCAGTCACATGCTGAGCTTTGGTCTTTTACATGCAATTTCATGTAAGTTCCCAGTGAAGACAAACCAAACGAACAACGTAATCCACAACAGAACAAAGCAAACAGAAACCAATACCTACCTTCACAGTTCTAGCTCGGCTCAGGGAGATGGCCTCTCCTTCATCGGTGTCTCCTGAAAATCCACTGTCACCTGACTCCAAGTCTTCAAAGCCCCCTGACCCGCTGCCACTGCCATCCCCACGGGATGGCGTCTGTACCATAATCTAAAACACAGGAGATGCACAGCTTTGTGTCATGTGCTTCTGCACCCATGGAACAATTCGGTGCAAACAGAAAATCGGGCTGGATACAAACGACAGCAAGAGCAAATTCTCCAAACTTGTTAGGATTTTAAACCTCAAAGTGATGGGAAAATACAGAAAGGCTCAACTCAAGCTGGAGATCTGAACCAAAATTTGGATTTTTTTCTTGCAAAAAATTATAGATTTATTTATAACCAAACATGTTTATAAATAAACATGGAATAATTATAAGTTATGTCAAATAGTGGGGACACTAGACATGGAAGTGGAGGAGCTGGGGCTGCTGACAGATTTGCCCACATCTTGTGGGTCCTCAGACACTTACTAATTTGTGTCAGTGTTTGATCTTTTATAATGTCTGGATTGCATGTGCGCGTGTGCATGTGTGCGTACATGAATGCATGTGTGTGTGCATGTGTGTGTGTGTGTGTGTGTGTGTGTGTGTGAGAGAGAGACAGTTGGAGAACACTTTGCAAGTCAGTTCTCTCCTTTCCCCGTATGTGGGTCCTGGGGACTGAACTCACATTGTACGGCTTGGCATCAGGCGCTTTTACCCACTGAACAAACCTCTGGTTCTATCTGGACCTTTTAAGGTTTGCGGAAAGTTTGGTTTAAGTTAGAAGCATGGTACCTAATGTTTCCATGGAGCAATTCTTCTCCTCTCTGGTCTTGCATACTCCGCCCCCTTTTTATTCTCAATCCTTCCTACTATCTTTTCTTGCGTGTATGAGTATAGAAAAGAAAATGTTCTATTCACAACAATCTGTCTTAACATTGGCTGAAATTATTCCACTGGGTTGGTTCGGAATAGAATGGAAAAGTGACCCAAAGATCACACTCCACAAATAAAATTTTAATCTATTCCCATTTCATATGATTAAATTGTGAGCATAATGGAAAATAAAAACAAACAGGAAGTCTGAAGATTCCTACAAGCTGCTGTGTCACTCATGGAAGGGTGACTAGGAAGGACTAGGAGGAGCAAGAAGGCAGGCAGCACGGTGGTGACCCGAGAAAACACCATCAACATTCACAAGCGCAGCCATGGTGTAGGCTTCAAGAAGCGTGCTCCTAGGGCACTCAAAGCAATCCAGAAATTTGCCATGTAGGAGATGGGGACTCCAGATGTGCAGATTGATGCCAGGCTCAATAAAGCCATCTGGGACAAAGGAATAAGGAATGTCCCATACTACATCCGGGTATGTTTGTCCAGAAAACGTCGTGAGGATGAGGACTCACCAAACAAGCTCCACACACTGGGAACTTACACACCTGTTGCCACGTTCAAAATCTACAGTCAACGCGGATGAGAGTTAACCTGATGCATCCCAAACAAAATCTACAGTCAACGCGGATGAGAGCTAACCTGCTGCATCTCAAACAGAGGTGGAGAGCTGCCAAGAAGAAGAAGAGGAGGAGGAGGGGAGGAGAAGGGAGAGGAAGAAGAGGCAGGCAAGAGAGCTTGGAGGTGTCTGAGGCAAGCAGCTGGAGAATTCACGCCTTGCTCTTAACAGTCAAGAAAACAAAAGCATACAAGAAAGAGGTGACTTCTGGGACCAGGACATCCTTATTCTTCAGAAGCAGTTGAGACCTTAGACTCAGTAGATCACCGTTTCTTCCCAGTGCTAATTTGGAAATCAGTTTAAAATGTCCAAGTCAAGTACCTCACTATCATACGGACGGCAATGGATGATCTTTGTAGAGGGGAGGGGGGCACTTGTGCAGCCTTTTCTCAGTTAACTTCAAAAATAAAATTTCTTAAATTTAGGGTCTTTCTTAGAGGTGGAGAGACTTGATAATTTTACCAAGATTCTTTTCTGATTTTAAACTCATGAGGGAAGGAGTCAGCTGTCTGGAGATGCACATATAACCTAGGGTTTTGGAATTTTACTCCCATCAAGACCAACCTATTTGACCCTCCGGTGTGAGCAGAGCAGGATGGCACAGGCACTGTCTCCTTCCTGGTTGACCATCATCAGATGGAAGGAGGAAATGTGTGATTACCTCAGCTCCAGCTGAGAAAACAGAACCTTCAAATCCCACAGACTCACTGATAAACCAAAACAAGAGTTCGGGGTCAAAGTCCATCCCATTTTGCTGAGATCTGACTTCTGGCCTTATCTCTATCCCCGTTGTCTTCTGAGACGTGAGGAGACTAACACTGAGTGATAACCAGCCATGCCACCAGCACTCACCGAGTTATAGTAGACCACACCGTCAGGGGCTGACCGCCAGTGTCCAGTGCCACAGCCATTCAGGGGGGACTCCAAAACAAAGTGGGTGCTGTTCATCTTGGCTTTGCATGAATGATTTGACAGGGTGAGCTCTATCTCTGAGTAGTTACCGGTCTGAAATGGACAACAGAGTGGAGGGCTTCACAGCTGCTCAGGAGCAGTGCCTACCTCAGCCTACCTCTGACAGAGGCGGCTCGTGGCCTGCCCCGGTGCCCCTCCCCCCCCTCCCCATTCGCCCACCACCTGTCAACAGCCCCTGATTGTGTTTGCTGGCACTGAAAATCCAATAGCAAAATATTGACACAGGAGGATCTGAACTCCTCCCCTCTTTTGAGAACAGGAAGTCGGATGAGGGTTGTAGCCCAGGGCAAGTGGCCCATCCAACGAGGGGAAAAACTACCAAGTGTAGGGTTCAAAAGTGAAATAACTTCAGGGAAATAATGGACACAGGATTGCAGCTGGCTGGGGAACATTTCTTGGGAGGACCACACTGAGTCACTGACCTTGAGAGAGTCTCTGAGGGAGTCTTTGCTCACAGTTACGGTCAACTTTTCACTGTCACACTTGACCGACAAGGCGTTGGCCACACCCCCCTGTACTTCTTCCGGCTCTTTGTGGTCCTGATACAGTGGGATGCTGGGAATGGCAGGATTCTTTGGATGGAGAATCCTATCTTCTCCCTCCTTCCAGCCTTTCTTGGGGATATTCCCGAAAGAGAATGGGAGACCTTCATCTTTGCTTTTCCCTCCCAGGAAGGGTGGGTTATCCAGGGTAGGCCTGTGGCCATGGCCCAGCAGGATCCAAAGCTCTGGAGGAGTGGTGTGGACTTCCTCGTCTCTCATCTCCTCTGTGGAAACAAAAGGTGAAGCATGGTGAGTGGCTGATGCCAGGCTGCGTCATCGTTAGACACGGGGTCACTGGTAACACAACTGGAGTCAAAGCGCAGGGCATAGAACTGACTAAGCAGTGTGGAAACCCCAGTTCTGATCGGGGGTTCTAACTAGCTAAGTGGCTTCGAACTTGTGACTTATTTCTCTGTGACTCAGTTTCTCGAGTTTTAAACTTTAAAAGTTTGGATTGTAACCGTGATCCTCAGCTTGGGCTTCACGTTGAAATCACTTTGGGGCTTTGGATAAAATGCAGCTCCAGTGAGCGTTTGGAGCTTCTAGTGTGACAGCAACGCTCGACCACGACTGAGAGCCGTTCTGCTCGACAAATTCTAAGTTCCTACCAACTACACACCTGTGCCAATTGGGGCAATAACATGCTATGCAAAGGTCCTTAAAATACTTTCATTTAATCCAGGGGTCTTAAAATCATTTCTCAAAATATCTCTTGAAACAACATTGGCATTTTTATTTTATATTTTGCAGCACCAAGGATCGAGCCCAGGTTCTTTATCACAGTGGGTGATTCCTCTGCCTCTTTAACACTGCTATTTTAGAATTATTTTGCTGCCTTCTTTTTGACTGATAAAAATCTAGGCGATATCCAGGTACCCTGGTCCTTTTGAGCCTCAACTCTGGAAGAAGAGAGCCGCTTAGGCACACTTATTCCTTGAAAGGAAGATAGAATTCCGTAAAGGCCACATGTAGCATCGCCATGTTTCCAATAACTGCGTGAGAAACTCATGTTTCCCCAGGATTCTCTGCATCCACGGTTATCTGAGCCCAGCTGATGGAGGCTTAAGGCTACACCCACCTCAGGGTAAGATAGGCAGAAACCATCTGGAGACGTGACCCCTCCTTCAACATGATCCTTTTGAAAAGGATGTTATAGACAAAGCACCAAAGGAAGTCACAGCTTTGGAGTGCTTTCAACACGCACATTGATTAAAAACAAACAAACAAACAAAAATACTACCACCCCACACGGAAAACAACAACAAAACATTTTGGCAACTCAGTAGGGTAGATGTTGTTCTTGGTATTTTGATTGTTGACAAGGAATCTAAGGTTCAGGCTTGGGGATTAAGTAACACCTCCCTGAATAGTAAAGCAACACTAACGCTGGGTGGGAAGGTAGAATGGGAAGCTTCGATCCATCAGTACTGTGCCACATGGTACCACTGGGCGAGGAACAGGTCCAGAGATCAGAGAACTAGGGGGTTCAGGTCACACCTACTTTAAAACTCCCGACACTCCCAAGGGCTTGCAGACTCTGCTTCTGCTAGCCAAACTCCACACCCTGAAGAAATTCTCCCCGTCTGAGTCCCCATGGCTGTTCTCCCGTAACCGTCAGCGGTTGACCATAGGCTTTTCCCCAATGGTCCTGCCCCCTTGGTCTTCTCAGTTGTGATTGGTCACTAATCACTCTAATATAATCACAGAGGACATGTAATCCATCACGGAACATAGGCGCTACGGCTGCCTCCATACTACGTGAGCTTAAGCTTTACACCGACAGACAAACTATCAAACCGCACCACAGAAAACCAGTAACCATCACGTGGACGTGAGTGTCTTTCACAGAAACACTTCATCCAAGAGACAGAACATCATGCGTACCATTATTGTTCTCAAGCCGGAGATGAAATCTATTCGCCACAGGCACCATGGTATATGACGTCACTGGGCTGTAGCCATTATCCAATGCCCACTGCACCAGATTCTCTTGGGTGGAAAGGGTGTCGTTTTTTATCGACTTGGTCACTGTCATGGATCTTTCACTGTCTTTTCCAAAGCCAACGCTGTTGGTAGCCTAAAGGGAACAGCAAAATTTCACTTGTGAGTATAAAACTGAAAGGGCTTTCTAGGACCTGTGCAAAGTCAAGAGGACCGGTCAGTCAGTGTTCCAACAGGCAGCACTGACCCGGCTGGGTGAGTCACAAAAATGAAAGATGGGGAAAACAAGTATGTGGGGAGGGAATATTTAATGGGGTGTCCACAGGGGATCAAGGTGGGAGCTGGGGTAGGCATGATCAAGATACATTGTATCATGTATAAAGTTGTCAAAGAATAAGAGATATTCTCAAAGGATACTTTGAATAAGGGGTTAGGTTACCTGAAATCAGCAAATCCTAGATTGTATAATGAGGACCTACCCTGCAACTCTTGTCTTCCTTGGATAAGACACTGAGATACAAATTAACACACACAAAGTGACGCCCACCCACACTGCCTTCTCACTTTATTTTGGCCGCCTGTGCTAAGTACACATTTCAAATGTTCCCTTCCTATTTTTATTCAAAATTGTGTATAAAGTACTCAGGTATGCACACTCTGTTACAAACACCCCGCGGTTTTGCCTCTTGCAGCCTCGACCTAAAGGAAAGACAGTAGGATCCCGCAACTCTCCCAGTGCTGTCTAAGCTATTGACTTCCACATGTAAAACTCAAGTCTTTACATTTCATCTATAATTTATGATGGGTTTAGCCATCCTGAAGTTGTATTCACTGCCAATTCTGTTAACATACTACACTTTATGATCTGGAGTATTAATTAAGAAACTGCTCAAGAATTAGCACTTTATTTAGTAATAAAGGAGGAATCCACAAACTATATATTCTTATATAGGCAACACATCTATTGAAACTGAAAGGACATCAAGATTGATGTGGTCCCTATATAAAGACAACATGAAGAAAATTCATGAAGCCATATTGAAAGGTTAGCTTTTATGTAATAATCAGCTACAATTGCTAAAATGCTGGTGTTCTTTCAAGGAAGGACACGGATAGCCTCTGGGTAGCCAGGGCGTGGCAGGGTCTATGTGCTCTACTGACGTGACAGGGATCTTGTCAGTGGGTGAGGGACCTGACCACTGCAGAGGGACCCAAGGGCAAGGCCCAGTTTGCACAACTGCTCTGGCTGAGCGGAAAAGCTTCCAGAGCATAGATTATGCCATTGTCACGCTGCATCAAAATCCTTTTAATTTCCGTGCCCAGTGATTTTCTCCTGCGTATCTGCAGCATTTTTTCTAAATGCCTCATTTGTTTCCCATTCTGTTTGCCCCAAACATGACTAAATATTAATTCTTTCCCACTGTATAGTCATAAAAGATGCACAGGCTCTCATTCTCTTGGCCTCCTCGGGTGTGGGAGACTGTCTGAGGACACATATACTCCAGGGCTTACTAGCTGTCACCCAAGATTGTCTCCTGTTACCTAAAGAGCTTATCTAGGGGAAACCTGCCAGGCTGGCTGCTCACGACTCCATGTGTGCACGCAAGAAACCAGATGGAGAGGAACGGAATCCTGCTACCGTTTGTAAGCTCGGTTGTTATAGACTGAGATTAGTTTAGTTCTTACTCAAACTCAGAGGAAAATCCTAGGGGAAGAATGAGAAGAGAGAAAGGGAAGGGAGGGAGAGAGGGAAGGGGGAGGATGGATGAGAAAAGGAAGTGCTAATGAAAAAGAGATGAAAGACAGAAATCAAGGAAGACCCAGGCAGCTCTCAGAGCCTACTATTCGGTCAACAGGAGTTTCTGAGACACAGCTTCTTCCAGCCTTTCAAAGCAGCATGTGTTTTGACTGGCTGGAACCGCAACCTTGGCCTAAACAATACTGCCTGGCCTCTTCTGCCCTAGACGTTCATGTTGTCAGACAGCTGAGAAAATACTCTCTCCAGATCCCATCATCTCAAAGGCCACCTGTCCTGCTGTACCAGGACAGAGTGATCTGTTCATGCCTTTCCACATAAATCTAGATGCTGTCAGGGTAATTCATATTAATTATGGTTTGGAACTTAAAAGATTGGACCTTACTCTACACGCTAGTAAAGCAGCAAGACCCGGGATAATGGGAGGCAAATTGGATCTCAGCGTTCAGTAAATTCCTCACCTTTGTATTCCTGGACTCTCCAGGTTTTCCCAGCTGTAATACAGACAAGTGGGGGCTCAAGGGGAATCTCCCCAAACACCATCACCATACTGCTCAGCTCTATTGTGAAGTATTAAGTGGAGCCTAAGTGGCTGTGCCCCGTGCCCTAGAAATGATGGCACAGGGAGGAGGAGGGCTTTAGGGGAGCAGTGGGTAGAGAAAACCAAATACACACACACACACACACACACACACACACACACACACGCACTGAGGCTCTAAACTAGCAATGTGTTTTCTAAGAAGTCATATTTGTGATGCTGCATCAAAGAACAAAAAAGGAAACAGCTTTCAACTTTTAAATTTATTATAATTTTATCGTGTGTGTGTCTGTGTGTGTGTATGTGTGTGTGTCTGAGAGAGAGAGAGAGAGAGAGAGAGAGAGAGAGAGAGAGAGAGAGAGAAAGAGAGAGAGAGAGAGAGCGCGCTTGGAGGCCTACTTGTAGGAGCTGGTCCTCTCCTTCCACCATGCTGGTCTCAGGGACAGAACTCTTTACCCATCTCTTTGACCCATGAGAGGGAACGGCTGTGAAGCCCCCCTCATCTTTCCTGTTCTGGAGCGCTCCCTGCTGTAGAAGTCACAGCACCCTGTCTACAGGGCACCCAGGGAACAAGACAGAGCCACATCTTAGTGCCGTGCTTTTTGCATCGCTCTGCTGATCTCTGACCACTGTCCCGCACACAGGCTGCATGCTGCCCTTGCTGTAGCTCTGACAAAGTCAGCACAGCCACGCACGCGCCACGGGGTCATTCTTTCGCCTCCCTATGAACTGTGGTTCCTGTTTCCACCTTGGTTCACTTCACTTCCTGTGGACAAACTCTTCCAGCAAGGACTTATGGAAAGAGGATGAGTTCTTTCACTGTGGGCCCATGCTAATATGTACATATAGTTCTTAGGTAATCTTCCTTTAATACAAGGAGCGAGATTCTGCCGTTCTTCTGCCAGTGGAAGAGAATCTGAGGCTTGCAACTGAGTAACACACACAGCTGAGAATTTCCACCTACCTGTGTGTTTTAGGGGAGAGAGAGACCCTATGTGCCCTAAGCACTTGAGGGATCAGTGGAGTCACCTGAACCACACAATAGCTTCCAAGGCGACTGCTGTCACCCTGTATCCGTTTCACAGTTACAGAAACAGACCCCTTGTTGGTTAGACTCTCCACCATGAACTGGGAGACGGACCTTGAAGCTGGCCTTGTCTCTCCACTCAGGATCCTTTATTTATTTATTTTTTTCACTTAGCAACCTTGTCAGTACAGGGAAGACAAGGATTAAGTTCTCCACAAACTACGTCTCCTTTTCTAAGCAGCAAGTTAAACCTCTGTCTTTGCATGCACCGGTCCCTCACGGCACAGTTCGGATTCACATCTGGGACAGGGAGTTAGAAGTCAAATAGCTTGAAACTGAGTGGAGAATTGGAGAAGAAAAAGAACATGATGAAACATTACCTAATTGTTTAGCAATGTTGTCATGTATTATCCAAAATTGGCCTGGAACACGAGTCCAGCCAAAGAGAGGAATAGAAACAGATCTTGCTTGGGATGATGGCCGATCTCATTTCTAGTCTTTCTGATTCCTCTGAGAGACAGGGACCTTCAAAGCAAAGCCCAGGCCGGCTGTTGCCCAGGCACACGCATTCAGGGACAGCAGGAGCCACAGGTCAGGGCTGAGAGCGTGCGTGAGCACTCCAGCAGGGAACTGAAACATACCGTATGTTTTTTTTTTGTTTTTTTTTTGGTTTTTTTTTTTTTTGCCTTTCAAAGCTTGATTCTCTTTCCTGTTTTTGTTATTCTGAAGCTAAAAACATTCGGTTGATGTGCCAGGCAGCAAAAGCAGCAGACACTCCAGGTCGCCACCACCTCTCTCCTCATGCCATGCCAGGGGAAGGCAATCAAAATACCCATGACCTTGGAAAATCACGGCTGGGGTTTGCACTCGACACCAGCTTCATCTGTCACACTACACTTGATGGGTATTTGGACTGTTTCAAAGTCTAAGAAAAATAAATTTTAAAAAACCCCTAGGAACAAAGAAGAATTATTTTAAAATTAGATGTGTGTGCTACTGGCTTTGTCTGCTCCTCTGGTGAGTTCACCTATGAGGCTGGGATGGTACAGAACCGTTGGCTTTGCCAACTGCTGGATCCCATGGAAGGTGCTGTGTGCGAGTGAACACAGAACCAAAACAACCGAAGGCAATCTCTTTTTAAAAAAAAATCTAAAATCAACTCCAGCTTTTTCGAAAAAGGCACTGAAAAAGATGCCGGTCAATTAAAAATACCTTAAAATTTTACTCTTCAAAAAGATGCCAAGGGGTGTGATACATACATGCATACGTAAACTCATATACAGGCGCACACACACCCATTACATACATATAATTTGCTCCAATATTCAGTCACATAGTTTTCCCCTGAGATGAGTTTTATCCCGTCAAACTTTTAACATTCTACTTTCCCAACAAACTAGCTACCTCACTATCACCTTACCACGTTAACAGTGTTTCAGAGATAAAACTGGAGCACACCTGTGGTTACTTTTGAAAAAAATCACGTGTGACACAGATACAAGTGTGTGTGTGGTGTGCAAACGTGTGAATGGAGACCAGAGGTCAACATCAGGTGTTTTCTTCACGCTATGCCTGCCTCTGTTTCTGAGACCAGGTCTCACACTGAACAGGGGGGCACCATTCAGCTAGGCTGTACAGATGGCCAATGAGCTCAGAGGATTCTGAGTCTGCCTCCCACACTCCAGCACTGGGAATACATGTTTATCTCAATAGGAAAGTCTATGCCACGGCTGTGATCAGATGGATTTTCCTTCCTCCCTAAGCACCTAACTCCAGAGTAAAAGCTAAATTCAGGACCATGATATTGAGTCTCTAAAGAATACTCAGACATGAAAAATGTACTTTTGTTCATTGCTTCATGTTTACTATGACTAGAAAACACACTGATTCATTTCAAAACTTTCCTAATGAGGTAACTGGAATTCAGAAAGCTTCAAGGACTTGTCCAAGGCTGTAATTTTTAAGTAGAAGAACCAAGACTCAAACCCACGTATTATACTCCCTAGGGCCATGTTTTAGCCACCACACTGACTGTCCTATCAGGCGAAACCAAGCAAAGTTTGCAAAGTAGAAGCTAACAGATCTAGAAAGTTCAAAGAGGCAGAATCCTTGCAAAAATAACACACACAACCACAGTTTAAATCATTGCTGTTTAACAAGACCAAGAAATGCGCGGCCAACTTACAATAACTTTCAGGCTTCCCTTGACGTCAAAAGATTTGATCACCCAGTTGACATCCTTCTTGCACTTCAGGATGAGGATGAGGTCTCTGACCACCTCAGGGCCCTCTTGAGCGGGTTGTATGTCGATGACTATATCCACCTGGAGGGGGCTGTGTGTGGAAAACAAGGCAAAGTCAAGACCCGAATGCCAGGAACTCTGGCACCACTCCCAAACCCCGTGTTCCCAGTGTCTGGCCAGTTGATTAAAATACTGGCGTGGGTCCCAGGCAAATGACATGTGCAAAACACATTGCTGTTGCACACATAACAAAATGGGTTTACATAACAATAGGAACACGGGCCTGATGCTAATTAACCACACAAGTTTTTCCTTCTAGAGAGGGGAGAGAGAAAGGCAGTTACTCAATGCAGCACCATCTGAAGGATCTTGAGCTTCATTTTGAAGCAGAATTGTTTGTTTTCAAGCTTCTGCGACCCGCCCTTCATTAGCCTGTAACTTCTAAGACGCTATATGCAGAAACCCTTGAAATCCTGACAAGAGTGGCTGATGGCTGTGAGGTGGGAGACACTCAGAACTTCATAATAAAATAAGAAGCAAAAGGCCTCTTGGCTTATGCAAGCGTTGACTTAGGCATCAATGGTGGTTAAAGAATCATAGTTGCATTTACTTCCCCAAACTTATGGGTATACAGTTATTAAAGAAAATTATGGGTCAGAGAATTCAGCATGAAAGAGAATGGTTTTTATTTACAATTTTTATTTACTAAATGATCACACGCTTCGTCCTGAATTTGAGGGGAGTCTGTCTTGGCTTCACTTATGAAACATGATAACCAGGGTGCCCAGACTTCAAAGGTCTGCACGCATGTTCCAGGTCCTCCCAGTCCCTTTGAATTTTCCAGGGTTCTGTACATGGAACTGAACAGAATCCTACCCAAACCTATCTGTAGTCAATATTGAAATGAAAACTCTATTATACACGTCATTTCAAAAATACCTCTACAATACAACTGTAAACTTTGAGTCACTGGTCCGTATGAAATACAGATCAGCATGGAAAATAATAACTTTTTTCTACTTAAAAAACAAATTATTTTCAATAGGAAGAATCAAACTTCCAGGCCAGCATAGGAAGCTGAGAGGCAGAATAAGAACATAAGTGGCAAATTGTGCCATCCTTCGTATGTACCATGAAGACCCACTCCACCAACACACACACAGACACACACACACCACACACATGCACACACACACCACACATACACACACACGCCACACATACACATACACACGCACACACACACCACAAATATGCATACACACACCACACACACTCATGCATGCACACACACCCCCACACACCACACACGCACACACACAGGCACACACACATGCACACACACATACACACCACACAAGCACACACACACACCACACACACACACGCACCACACACGCACGAGGTCACATGTACATACAGGCCCACCTGTGTGTGTTTGAGTTGGGGGCGATTAGTTCAATGATGTGTACTTCCTTCTCCTGGGGCTGACTGGACAGGACACAACCTTCGGCAGGCTTCGGTTGAAGGTACTCAGCAAGGTAATTGAGCGAGAGAAAATTCTTCCCGATGGTGCACGTGGGAGGAAACACTTGATCTGCAGGCAGACAAAAGGGGGCCTGGTCAAACCACTGAGCTTACAGGACCAGACTGGAGGACAGAGGTGACAGACAGGACAAGCCCAAAGGGCGGCAGGGGCGGCGGGGGCTCATCTGTGCCTCGGTTACTGCAGAAAGGTGCCGCACTTTGGCTACTAGTGGCTTCTTTTTCAGGTTCCTGCCCATTTCCTGTGATCCAGATTGTACCTGTTAGGACTCTGTCCCTTAGACTCTGACTCGGGATATCATGGACATTTTTCCTTTCCATAGGGCTCCACAGTTAATTCTAATGTAAGCCAAGGCTGAGACTCTCAGCCCTGAGCTGGGGAACGTAGCTCAGGTGGTGAGGTGTTTGCCCTGGGGTTCCACCGCCACTGCGTGCCTGAGGTGTGGTCATGGCTCAGCCCCATAATCTGGCCACTCAGGAGGCAGAGGCAGGAAAATGAGAAATTTAAGATCATCTTTGGCTACATAGAAAATCTGGGGCCAGCCTGGGCTACAGACCCTATCACAAAAAACAAAAATCAAAGAAGATATACATGCCATAAGGAAAAATGAAGTCATGACACATTCAGGAAATGCATGTGACCAAATAATCCAGACTCAGAATCTTAGCTCTTTCCTCCAGAGAACCCAGCCACTCCTGTGGTATCCACTTGTTCCCAGACCACCGCTCCTCCTCTGGGCTGCAGACCTAACTGCCCTCTGTCTACCAAGAGGTTCCCGCCTAGACACTCCACACTGGGTCTGTTTTCAACCTTACAGGCTTCTCCTTGGATACCTGCAGCCTCAATGCCAATGCCTATTGGTTCTCTACCCCGAAATTAAGATTAAAAGTGGGAAGCATGGGGAAGAGAGAGAAGACAAACTTTTACTCTTTTTTACATGGCTGCCTTACACAACTAACCCTGGCACGGCTCTTTCCCATTCTCAAGGGGCTTTTACAAATACCACTGGGCTGAGGACTGCTCACCACCTGACCCAGGAAAGGACATGCCAGTCCCAAAATCTGAAGATCTCCCCAGTGACCCATGCTAGTTACAGAGCACGACACCCAAAGGGATTTTCACCTCGTAGCTTAAATATTTAAACAGAAGCTGCTGTCGCCGTGACAGCTGGCGTCCAGGAAGTTCTAGGTGAAGGCAGATTATCGGGAGGGGAATCAATCAGACCTGGCACTTTCAGTGACGCAGCCTTGTGTCTTTTAAATGTTAAGGATGGGATGATGGGCTTCACATCCACAGTGGCACCTAAGCACAGGAGACGAGCTTTCAAGGTTCTCAGGCTGTGCTGACACTGCCCCCTCCCCAACCTCGTACAACTTCTGTTTGCTGGTCTGCAGCTCACACGGTGGCACTGTGGCCCTAACCCCGGCAATATCCTCGGCACCACCACCTCGGCACAAAGGGCACAGTCGTCAATATGGCCCCCGCTTGTGTGACTGCTGCAAGCGAGGGTCAGCGCATGCATCCTGCATTTTTTTTCAACAAACCTTGCCCAAGGAAACAGCCCACAGCTTCACAATTCGAGCTCTTGGAGCGGCACCCCGCGACGTCGGCTAAGGGGTTTTCCAGATGTGCTGATGAGGAATGCGTATTTCACAGCTGCAGCCCTGGGATGCCTCCCCCAGGTCACAAGATGGAAAATGATATTGGAACCGTAGGGCTGAAATCTGATTGAGAATCAGGAGGTGTGTACATGGGCCAGAAGACTCAAGAAGCCAGGCCCCTCCTGGGACTGTGGCTTGCATTTCCTACACAGGTGTGTCTAGGCTTGTAGCTGGCGCATAATAGACCCATAGCACAGGCTTCTGGAGTCAGCAAAAGATGATGTGAAATTTGAGACAAACAGCCAAAGATTCCCCCCGGTGGGCGAGCCACTCGGAACGGTTTAACTATTCCAAAGTTGCTGCTCCTAAAGTTCCGGGTGCCACTGTCAACTACGCTGAGTGAACCAATCACATTTTGTTGCGAGGAGTCCCCCAGGTCACGTGACTTTCCACAAGCACAAAAACATAGTCAAGTGCCAAGCAGAGAGGGAAGCCCCAGGTAGGAACCTCTTAAGCCTGGTAGAGAAGGTGCAGGTTAATGTGGCTAAGGACTATGAGCGCAGGTATGAGCTTCGGTGGTCACACAAAGGCTCCTTTTCCCACAGTGAAGGCCTACAACCTGGAGATTACTCCACGGTGCTAGGATAAGAGCCCACACTGAATGCCCACTTCTCCCACTCTGGGTGAACAGTGAGTACCACCACCTGGATGGTTCGGGGCAACCTGCCTTGCGGACCTCATCCTAAGTTCTTATTTAGCTGGCCAGGACTGAGCTAACAAGGTTCTCAGAAACACCAAAGCTTCCAAGGTGGGAGCTGCACTCTAAAACCCAATGGGGCTCGTAGCCTATGGTCCCTGTCTGGGAAGCGAATCGGTGAGACTGAGATTGATGGGAAGTGATAATCAGTAACATTGCCTGGGGTCTATGAGATTAACAAAGGAGTTTCCCCCCCACCCCAAACGTTCATGTCAGTGACATGGGCCAGTGATTTAGACCCAAATAATGGCTGGAGTCAAACTTCAGGGGATCCTAGGGATCCTCAGAGTCACCCAGTTTTTACTACTGGGACATCAGGTCTTTTAGTTTTGCTTCCCTGTCTCAGTGTGGAGCTCAGCCACTTGAGAGTCCTGACTCCTGACATGATGTGGGATTCCCCTCTGTATGCTGTGAATACCATTGGTTAATAAAGGAACTGCTTTGGGCCTACAGCAGAGCTATAGAGGAACAGAACTAGGTGGGGAAAACTAAACTAAATGCTGGGAGAAAGGAGGCAGAGTCAGAGAGAAGCCATGGAGCCCCCGCCAGATAAAGATACTGGACGAAATTTTACCCAGTAAGCCACAGCCACATGGCGATAGACGGATTAATGGAGAGGGTTAAATTAAAATGTAAGAGTTAGCCAATAAGAAGCAAGAGCTAATGGGTCAAGGAGTGATTTAAATAATATGGTTTCTGTGTGATTATTTTAGGTCTGAACTGCCGGGAGACCAGGAAACAAACAAGTGGCCTCCTTACAACACTGGCCCAGGTGACTGCTGCGCTATACACGTTGTCAAGGAAACAGGGCCCAGTATTCTACACGTTTCCACTCCAAATCTCCTTATTCTAACAATGCAAGACTTGTTATCCCTTCAACCATCATGCTACTGGATTCTGCTTTAGACAGGCTGAGGTCTTGGGGTTTTTTTTATTAAGTTTTTCCAATCTCTTTATTGTGAGGTCCGACTACCATGAGAATCTAGAAACAAACTTAGGCCTTTTGACCCCGATTCCCATCTAACCCCTTTCTCTCAGCTACAAGCCACTTTCCATTCTAACCTTCACTCGGGAATATGCCTGGGTAAGACTTGAGGGAGGGCAGCGTCCTTCAAGCATTAGACAGCGTTAGACTCAAGAGTGAGGGGTTCTGCAGTTGAGAACGGCCTTTGCCACTTTCTCGTAATGTGGCACATTCACTGAACCCTCCCTAAGCCCCATCCGCATCCAGTGACGGAAACAATATCTCCTCCTTGGGATTGCCATGCCGTACATGGGAAAACTCCAGACATGGTCTTTGCTGTAGCCAACACACCAACGTCAGTGCCCGCCTTTACACACCAATGTCGGTGCCCGCCTTTCTTGCACTTGTCTCATTTTTACTTTAAAAGAGCGCAGACCCAAGCTGGGAATCAAGCACTCAACACTCCCACCCTGCGGGACATCTGGGGAGGTGGTGGCAGGTGCTGTGGACAGCACTCTTCCCCAGCCAGCCGGGGACAAGGTCCCATCCACAACAGTGACTTCCTAGTAACTCCAGGGGAGGGTGGGAAACCTTCCAAACATACTCCGCTACAAATGATTCTGAAATACTTAAAAAATAGGCTTTCAAAACTGAGCTGTTGGATATTTATAACTTTCTGCAAGGCAAGGAAATTAAACTGAGCCAACTCTTATCAAAGCATATGTAGTTCCTCTCTCCAAACTGTCCTCGTAACAAATGTTAATACTAAAAATAATATTCTCCCTCTGTTGGTGTCTAAGATTTAACTGATGTCTCTGCACCATAAAGGGAGAATGGCTTCAAACATCTGCAGAACAGCAAGTAAGACGCTGCCCCGGGTGTCAAACCCATCCCGCTAAATCCTTCATGGCGCCAGTTACCACTGCCTTTCCCCACACCTTAGCCACTTGCTTGCTCTGGATGCCAGGGCTGACGGTGCTCTAAATCCTACACAGCAACCTGCTTTTCTCTCAACCGTATGACACCTATCTCTCAGCTGGTTATAACCAGCCCCATTTCTGCAGGAGAAAGTGGAGGAGTGTGTGGGAAGAGTCGCTCTCTAAGAGACCCCTAGGTCCCTGCTGGTTCCAGCTCTCTGGATCCTACCATCCCCGCCCTGACACCTGGATTCAGAAAGGCCAACAATCGATGGTTACAAATCGTCCTTAACAGAAGGCACGCAGGATTTACCTTCCCCCACTTTAATGTAGATGTTTCTTGCTATCTTGAGTTCCGTGAATGAAGTCACCGCTCCGTATACCTTCCGGGCCCAGTTTAGCAGATGCTCGTTTCCTTGAGGAAAAGTCCTCTCTTCTGTGTCTGCTGTTGAGGAGAAGTTTCCTGATGAAAACTGGACCTTAGAGCCCTTCGACACCTGAAGCAAGCAGGACGGCATAGTTAACATGGCATAGTCACCCAGAGTCAAACAGACCTAGAGAAAGCGCCGGCCAGATTTTCCCATCACACCTAATTTGTCTCTTCTCTCTGCTATGCAAGCAGAGATGGCAGAGGCAAGCCCTCTGGGAGCAGACTCGAGTAACCCCCAAACCAACTTCTCCCAGATCACCCCAGGCAGGACGTCCCTTTGAACTTTGAAAGAACCCTGCGATGAGAAACTGGGAACTGGGAACAGTCCGAATGATCTTTGCTATTTCGCACACGTCTCCGTGAGAGGCCCTCCTTCCAGGCATCGCTGGTCTTCATTTAAACGGGTGCTCACCCGTGGAGGACTGAACCGGACATTTAGGGGAACACTGCACCTCTCTCAATACTGACAAACTAAAAATGTCGGCTTTGTCATTTCCTAAACAGCAGGCATAACTCTCTGCATGGAATTTATTCTAGATTGGGGACCATTAGTAATGCCACTAACATCGAGCCCGAGCAGACTCGCTGTAGACGCTGACAGTACACACTGGTTGTCTGTAGAAGGTTATGTGGGAAGAGTACTGACCAAGTGTGCTCACTGCTCACACATCTGCCTGACTCCCAGCGGGAATCCCCACGTTCCGTGTTTTATGACATGTGTCAAGTTTAGTTCCTTTGTTTCAGTATTCATTTACTTTGTGCATGTATGTATGCGGGTACATGTATGTATGTGGGCATGTGCTGAGGTCAGCGGACAACTTGGGGGTTGTCAGGCTTGGCAGCAAACGCCTAACCCCCTGAGCGCCTTCATGGACCCTGATGGGTTCTTAAGGAAGCCTTTCTGGTCTGTTCCGGCTTAGGAGGCACAGAACTAGTCATTAATAAGCTGGGTAAAAACTGTCACAAGAATGACAGTTGCTGGGCAACACCACATCCCTTCGGGTACGGCACCCACTCCTGAGGGGCCTTCCACTGATTCTAAGCAATGGCAGTGTGGACGCCTTAGCGGTGGCCTTGTTTAGATGTTGTCTGTTCATGTCAAGGCTCGCCATCCATCTTCGTGGGTCACACTAGCCATGCCACCTCCGGGTATCACTGCTGGGGAGCAGCCACACATCAGCCCTGCCTCACACCATCTGGGGTTCCCCCCTTTCCTGTAGTAAAACCTTCTTGCCAGAAAGCACTTCCATATTGTTATTCAGCTTTTCACTGAAAAAACAAAGCCCGCAGCAGTGCGGGATGGACTCTGACCACTGCCTGCACCGTCTGGGTGTGAAGGCAAGGATCTCTACATATTTGTTGCCTGTGTCCTTTCTTGTGTCATAGCTATAATATTTAACTCTGGGTTTTAAACGCATCATGAGAAGCAAGCATTTTTCCTCTCAGTGTGAATGGAGAGATATATCCTGCTGGTGCATTCCGAAGGCACGAAGAATCGCCTAAGTAGAGGCCAGCAGCTAGCGGAATGTAGCCTGAAGTCATCAAAGAGCTGCGTGACTGTGAGGCCCAGGAAGGGGTCACTCCTGCTGGTCTGTCCGTCTTCCCTGCCACACACCATCCACCCTGCCTCAGCGCGGTCTCCTTCCCAGGCAGCCCCAAGGTTCATAAACTCAGGGCTGAGGAATTTGGAAGCACAGCTACTGCCACTCCTCAGGCACATTCCAGTTAGAAGAAAGCAAAGCTGCCAGGGGTAGGGAGGTGTCCCTGACTGCAGGTCAGTGGAAATTTCCTGCTTCCGCAAACGGTCAGTCAGCACTCTTCCCTCAACCGCCCGTTCCACGGGCCCTACTGAGGCCCTCTGCCATGATGGAGCTACAGACGACATCGTTCACGGGTGACTGCCATGATCCTCAGGACCAGCGATGACCGTGGATTCCACAGTAGAGAAAGGAACTGGAGAGAGATGGTGTCCCTCAGCATCAGGACAAGACTAGCGCACAGGGCTTGGGACTTCCAGACACTGTGGGCTTCTGTTCTAACCCTTGGAAGATCCCCACATTTGCTGCTATGATAGGGTTATATTCTTCCTTTCAAAATGACATTCGCATTGTGTGTGTGTGCGTGTGTGTGGTATGCAATGATGTGGTGTGTGTGTGCCTGTGTGTGCTGTGCATGTGGTGTGCCTGTGTATATAGAGCCCTTCATAAAGCCATCTCTTCAGCCTTCTTCTCTTTCTACCCCTAAGATTCTGTTTGCTGGTCTGAGTCAGGCCTACCAACCAAGACAGAGAATTCAGTCCTCAGTCCTTGGTTATACGTGCCTTCAAATACTTGTCGATGTCAGCAGGCTTTTATCACGTATTCAGTCTTCGGCTCCTCCCCCAGACACCACGGTTGTCCAATCATTACCAGCTCAGAGTCTGACCGCAGTACCGGGGCAAGACTCAGGGTCTCTTTGAATGGGCAGGACTGAATTAAATTTCTGGCCAGTGGTGAAGAGGTCCAGTTCTATTTCCTCCCTCAGCTGGTGCAGAGAAAGTTCCAGCCTCTAATAAAGCAGCTGGTTCCCCTGGCAACCAGCCCCCAACTGGATGCAGTCTAGGACCCCCCAATCACCAGTCATCACATTAACATAGGTGACATCACTCTGGGGACAGGAGGGTTTTAGGAGATGTGTGCCAGACACAAAGAGCAGGGACCAAACCTATTTCTTGGTGCACCACAATAAGCGAATGTGAAATTGTCATTTTAAAGGAACTAAAGGGTAAGCACAAGGATTTTATATTTGGATAAAATAACAGAAATTTCCTACAGCTTTATTTATTTATCCCATTCCTTCAACCACAGTCTATATTGTCACCTGGAAAATCTTCCTAAAATGCAAATAAGTTATAAGACAGAACAGCTGAGCATCTTAGCACAGTGGGGAAGAGGGTGTCTCTGCTTCCCTCCATCCCAGGGTTCACCATAAAGAACCAATGACAGCCGCAGAACGCTCCACAGACTACCTGCTCTCGGATCCTCCATCCTTCCCTGTCCGGACCACTGTGCTGCGCCTTCCTCACCTGCCTTCTCCCAGGCCCCCCACTCTCTCCAGGACTTCCATGCCTCCTTCCCATCCCCTTGACAAAGAACAAGAACACCCGAGGGCCGAGAAAGCGTGTGCCCATTCTGAATCTCTTTACCGGGCACGGTGCATGACACAAGGGAGGGGTTAAGGGTCACTGCTGACAGCCTACAGTCCTCAACCTGAGAAGCTAAAACCCCCCACCAGAAACAGACAGAAGCAGAGGTAGAGATCTTCAACTGACCCCTGGGCTGAGCTCCCTGAGTACAATCGAAGAGAGAGAGGAGCGATAATATGAGCAAAGGGGCCAAGACCATGATGGGGAAACCCACAGAAACAGCTGACCTGAGCTAGTGAGAGCTCACTGATTCCAGACTGACAGCTGGGGAACCTGCATAGGCCCAAGCTAGGCCCTCTGAATGTGGGTGGCAGTTGTATGGCTTGGGCAGTCTGTGGGGACACTAGCAATGGGACCAGGATTTATTCCTAATGCTTGAACTGGCTTTTTGGAGCCCATTCTTTTTGGAGGGATACCTTACTCAGCCTAGATATAGGGGGAAGGTCCTCCAAGTGATGTGTCAGACTTTGCTGACTCCCCATGGGAAGCCTTACCCTCTCTGAGGAGTGGAGTGCATGGGGGCTGGGCGGGGGGAGGTAGGGAGAGTGGAAGGAGAGGAGGGGGGAAAACTGGGATTGGCATGTTAAAAAATGTATTTAAACAACCACAAAATAAATAAATGAGCAACTTTTCTAGAACACATGGCTTGCTGATGGGAAGCTCCCCGATGCTCCCTGAGAGAAAAGAGCCCTCGAGTTACAGAGCCTTTTGCTTCCCCACCTCCCCAGAAAGTGACTCTCAGCCAGGCCTTTAAAGCTAATGATTTGATTTCTCACCTAATAATTCCAGCTAAAACCCAATTATTAGAGCATACTTAGCAATTTTGTGTCTCCACCCACACAGCCCTGAACTTTCCTCCCGCGTTCTAATTAAAACCCAGCCCCCCACCCCAAACATGACAGATCTTCCTGTGGGAATTCGCAGACCGCTGAGCTCCAAGGACCTTGACTCTAAGCAAGGGTCTGTTGAAGGAACAATCGCCCAGTAGCTTACGGTCTTACAATTCCCAGGAAGCCAACGTGCACCTGGTCCCTTCCTCACCAGAATGTTCTTTCCTGCTCGAACTGTGCACAGCAGTGGTATTTTGAGTTCTGGTTAAGCTACCAGACTTTTTTTCCCCCTTTTTTTCCGAGAGCAAAGCATTACTCTATCTGCCAAGGCTAGAGTTTTATTGCAAGAACTTACAACAAGGCTACACAAGCCAAGTTTATTATTTTCTCTGGATCAGATTCAATAACGTCCTCCAAAAGTACACGAGGAAAAAAAAAAGCCAAGGAGGCATCCAGCCCCTTTGTTTCCACACCTGTGGTTGAGCGTTAACTTTCAGAGCCCTAAGTGGGCTCACACACGCCTTGAAGTTGAGCTCACAGGCTAGAGCAAAGGCCGAGTTCCTCAGGAGTCTCTACAGCGTCTTCCTGGAAGTGAGCTTCTTCTTCTTAGCGCTGACCTCAGCTGACTCAGAGATCCAGGGTGGCAGCACAGTTCAGTCAGAGGGGAGGAGGGCGGAGCTTTGCCCTGGGCAGTCCTGGGTCCATCCTCCCATCTCCCGACTGACTCCATCCTATCCCCAATCCCAAACAAACACCCCCAGATGTGCACCCCAGATGGGCATTCAGATTGCAAAGACCACAGGTGACCAGGTCTCCCCTTCTGTTCCACATCCGCGGCTTCGAGGTCACTCATGCTGCCTTCAGAAGGCAGCCTCTCGCTCTTAAACCTACCCCACAGCCAACAGCCTGCCACCCTAGATGCTCCAGGCCTCCATCTTTCTTTCTGTATTATTTCTATTGTATCCATCACTTTCCAAAATGCTACAGAATATATTCATTTATTACGCCCATCCCCATCTCTTTTTTTGGAGTCCGGAATGCTCACCAGGCTGC